CCAGCAACGGCGAGCATCACGAGCATCAGCTGCGGGTGCCCCCATGTGAAGGGCCAGGAGCGGCGAGCATCATGAGCACCAGCTGGGCGTCGTGCTAGGGAGGGCCCAGCAACGGCGAGCATCACGAGCATCAGCTGCAGGTGCCCCCATGTGAAGGGCCAGGAGCAGCGAGCATCATGAGCATCAGCTGGGCATCGTGCCAGGGAGGGCCCAGCAACGGCGAGCATCACGAGCATCAGCTGCGGGTGCCCCCGAGGGCCAGGAGCGGCGAGCATCATGAGCATCAGCTGGGCGTCGTGCCAGGGAGGGCATCCTATCAGGGAGACCCAGCAACGGCGAGCAGCACGAGCATCAGCTGCAGGTGCCCCCATGTGAAGGGCCAGGAGCGGCGAGCATCATGAGCATCAGCTGGGCGTCGTGCCAGGGAGGGCCCAGCAACGGCGAGCATCACGAGCATCAGCTGCAGGTGCCCCCATGTGAAGGGCCAGGAGCGGCGAGCGTCCTGAGCATCAGCTGGGCATCGTGCCAGGTCAGCTGCAGGTGCCCGCATGTGAAGGGCCAGGAGCGGGCATCAGCTGGGCGTCGTGCCCCGGAGGGCCCAGCAACGGCGAGCATCACGAGCATCAGCTGCAGGTGCCCCCATGTGAAGGGCGAGGAGCGGCGAGCATCATGCTCGCCGTTGCTGGGCCCTCCCTGGCGAGCATCAGCTGCGGGTGCCCCCATGTGAAGGCCAGGAGCGGCGAGCACCATGAGCATCAGGTGGGTGTCCTGCCAGGGAGGGCCCAGCAACGGCGAGCATCACGAGCATCAGCTGCAGGGGGGCCCCATGTGAAGGGCCAGGAGCGGCGAGCATCATGAGCATCAGCTGGGCATCGTGCCAGGGAGGGCCCAGCAACGGCGAGCATCACGAGCATCAGCTGCAGGTGCCCCCATGTGAAGGGCCCAGCAACGGCGAGCATCACGAGCATCAGCTGCGGGTGCCCCCATGTGAAGGGCGAGGAGCGGCGAGCATCATGAGCATCAGCTGGGCATCGTGCCGGGGAGGGCCCAGCAACGGCGAGCATCACGAGCATCAGCTGCGGGTGCCCCCATGTGAAGGGCATCAGCTGGGTGTCCTGCCAGGGAGGGCCCAGCAACGGCGAGCATCACGAGCATCAGCTGCAGGTGCCCCCATGTGAAGGGCCAAGAGCGGCGAGCATCATGAGCATCAGCTGGGCATCGTGCCAGGGAGGGCCCAGCAACGGCGAGCATCACGAGCATCAGCTGCGGGTGCCCCCATGTGAAGGGCCAGGAGAGGCGAGCATCATGAGCATCAGCTGGGCATCGTGCCAGGGAGGGCCCAGCAACGGCGAGCATCACGAGCATCAGCTTGGGGTGCCCCCATGTGAAGGGCCAGGAGCGGCGAGCATCATGAGCATCAGCTGGGCATCGTGCCAGGGCCCAGCAACGGCGAGCATCACGAGCATCAGCTGCGGGTGCCCCCATGTGAAGGGCCAGGAGCGGCGAGCATCATGAGCATCAGCTGAGCGTCGTGCTAGGGAGGGCCCAGCAACGGCGAGTATCACGAGCATCAGCTGGGGGTGCCCCCATGTGAAGGGCCAGGAGCAGCGAGCATCATGAGCATCAGCTGGGCGTCGGCCCAGCAACAGCGAGCATCACGAGCATCAGCTGCGGTTGCGCTGATGTGAAGGGGCAGGAGCAGTGAGCATCATGGGCATCAGCTGGGCGTCGTGCCAGGGAGGGCCCAGCAACGGCGAGCATCACGAGCATCAGCTGCAGGTGCCCCCATGTGAAGGGCCAGGAGCGGCGAGCATCATGAGCATCAGCTGGGCATCGTGCCAGTGAGGGCCCAGCAACGGCGACCATCACGAGCATCAGCTTGGGGTGCCCCCATGTGGGTGCCCCCATGTGAAGGGCCAAGAGCGGCGAGCATCATGAGCATCAGCTGGGCATCGTGCCAGGGAGGGCCCAGCAACGGCGAGCATCACGAGCATCAGCTGCGGGTACCCCCATGTGAAGGGCCAGGAGCGGCGAGCATCATGGGCATCAGCTGCGCGTCGTGCCAGGAAGGGCCCAGCATCAGCTGCAGGTGCCCCATGTGAAGGGCCAGGAGCGGCGAGCATCATGAGCATCAGCTGGGCGTCGTGCCAGGGAGGGCCCAGCAACGGCGAGCATCACGAGCATCAGCTGCAGGTGCCCCCATGTGAAGGGCCAGGAGCGGCGAGCATCATGAGCATCAGCTGGGCATCGTGCCAGGGAGGGCCCAGCAACAGCGAGCATCACGAGCATCAGCTGCAGGTGCCCCCATGGGAAGGGCCAACAGCGGCGAGCATCATGGGCATCAGCTGGGCGTCGTGCCAGGGAGGGCCCAGCAACGGCGAGCATCACGAGCATTAGCTGCGGGTGCCCCCAGCAACGGCGAGCATCACGAGCATCAGCTGCGGGTGCCCCCATGTGAAGGGCCAGGAGCGGCGAGCATGAGCATCAGCTGGCGTCGTGCTAGGGAGGGCCCAGCAACGGCGAGCATCACGAGCATCAGCTGGGCCCCCATGTAAGGCCAGGAGCAGCGAGCATCATGAGCATCAGCTGGGGGTCGTGCCAGGGAGGGCCCAGCAACGGCGAGCAGCACGAGCATCAGCTGGGCGTCGTGCCAGGGAGGGCCCAGCAACGGCGAGCATCACGAGCATCAGCTGCGGGTGCCCCCATGTGAAGGGCCAGGAGCGGCGAGCATCATGGGCATCAGCTGGGCGTCGTGCCAGGGAGGGCCCAGCAACGGCGAGCATCACGAGCATCAGCTGCAGGTGCCCCCATGTGAAGGGACAAGAGCGGCGAGCATCATGAGCATCAGCTGGGCGTCGTGCCAGGGACGGCCCAGCAACGGCGAGCATCACGAGCATCAGCTGCAGGTGCCCCCATGTGAAGGGCCAGGAGCGGCGAGCATCATGAGCATCAGCTGGGCATCGTGCCAGGGAGGGCCCAGCAACAGCGAGCATCACGAGCATCAGCTGCAGGTGCCCCCATGGGAAGGGCCAGCAGCGGCGAGCATCATGGGCATCAGCTGGGCGTCGTGCCAGGGAGGGCCCAGCAACGGCGAGCATCACGAGCATCAGCTGCGGGTGCCAAGAGCGGCGAGCATCATGAGCATCAGCTGGGCATCGTGCCAGAAAGGGACCAGCAACGGCGAGCATCACGAGCATCAGCTGCGGGTGCCCCCATGTGAAGGGCCAGGAGCGGCGAGCATCATGAGCATCAGCTGGGCGTCGTGCTTGGGAGGGCCCAGCAACGGCGAGCATCATGAGCATCAGCTGGGCAGCGGCGAGCATCATGGGCATCAGCTGGGCGTCGTGCCAGGGAGGGCCCAGCAACGGCGAGCATCACGAGCATCAGCTGCGGGTGCCCCCATGTGAAGGGCCAGGAGCGGCGAGCATCATGGGCATCAGCTGGGCGTCGTGCCAGGGAGGGCCCAGCAACGGCGAGCATCACGAGCATCAGCTGCAGGTGCCCCCATGTGAAGGGACAAGAGCGGCGAGCATCATGAGCATCAGCTGGGCGTCGTGCCAGGGACGGCCCAGCAACGGCGAGCATCACGAGCATCAGCTGCAGGTGCCCCCATGTGAAGGGCCAGGAGCGGCGAGCATCATGAGCATCAGCTGGGCATGGTGCCAGGGAGGGCCCAGCAACGGCGAGCATCACGAGCATCAGCTGGGGGTGCTCCCATGGGAAGGGCCAGCAGCGGCGAGCATCATGGGCATCAGCTGGGCGTCGTGCCAGGGAGGGCCCAGCAACGGCGAGCATCACGAGCATCAGCTGCGGGTGCCAAGAGCGGCGAGCATCATGAGCATCAGCTGGGCATCGTGCCAGGGAGGGCCCAGCAACGGCAAGCATCACGAGCATCAGCTGCAGGTGCCCCCATGTGAAGGGCCAAGAGCGGCGGGCATCAGCTGGGCGTCGTGCCAGGGAGGGCCCAGCAACGGCGAGCATCACGAGCATCAGCTGCAGGAGCGGCGAGCATCATGAGCATCAGCTGGGCGTTGTGCCAGGGAGGGCCCAGCAACAGCGAGCATCACGAGCATCAGCTGCAGGTGCCCCCATGTGAAGGGCCAGGAGCGGCGAGCATCATGAGCATCAGCTGGGCATCGTGCCAGGGATGGCCCAGCAACAGCGAGCATCACGAGCATCAGCTGGGGTGCTCCCATGGGAAGGGCCAGCAGCGGCGAGCATCATGGGCATCAGCTGGGCGTCGTGCCAGGGAGGGCCCAGCAACGGCGAGCATCACGAGCACCAGCTGGGGGTGCCCCCACGTGAAGGGCCAGGAGCGGCGAGCATCACGAGCATCAGCTGCGGGTGCCCCCATGTGAAGGGCCAGGAGCGGCGAGCATCATGGGCATCAGCTGGACGGCGAGCATCACGAGCATCAGGTGCCCCCATGTGAAGGGCCAGGAGCGGCGAGCATCCTGAGCATCAGCTGGGCGTCGTGCCATGGAGGGCCCAGCAACGGCGAGCATCACGAGCATCAGCTGCAGGTGCCCCCAGGTGAAGGGCCAGGAGCGGCGAGCATCCTGAGCATCAGCTGGGCGTCGTGCCAGGCAGGGCCAGGAGCGGCGAGCATCATGAGCATCAGCTGGGCATCGTGCCAGGGAGGGCATCACAAGCATCGGCTATGGCTTTGATGGATTTTCGACTGGAAGCCGCTCCCCAAGCAACCCATTTCAATGGAAGGGGTCTGAGAGTCATCTAGAAGCCGCTGTTCTCACATCTTTGGAGTTGTTCACTGGTTTTTGGCTGGACACCCCTGTTGAGCAAACCCTCTTTGTCATCCGAACCGCTTCCCAATTCCTCCACCCCCACAGCGTCCCAGAAAATAAGCTCAAAAAATCTAGCCCGTGGCTTTCAAAGCCGGACCGTTAGGGTTTGCAGAAGTGGCACGGGGCATGAAGGGGATGAAGTGGTCGAGCTTAGGGCCGGGGAGGCTGCTCTTAACAAAGCTGGCCCCCCAGGTTTTATCGGCTGACCTCAACCCAAGAGCCAAGACCATTGAAACCCACATCGGCCCTGAGCCTAAAACCCTAGACCCCCCCCCTCAACAAAAAAAATCCCTAAACTCTGAACTCTAAACCCCTCAACCCTCACTTGCCCCTCGGCCTTCTCGATTGACTTGATCTCAAAGCCTTGGCTTCCGCTGCCAAGACTCCCACTAACTGCTCCACACCCCCAAATCAATTTCTCTTTTGGGGTTTAGGGTTTAGGGTTTAGGGTTTAGGGTTTAGGGTTTAGGGTTTAGGGCTCAGGAGCCCTGAGGCAGACAATGGAGGCAATAATGCGCGCCGACAGGACCTAGAAGAATGGTGCTCAAGGGAACTAGAAACCCCTGGAGGGGGAGTTTTGGGCTGCCAGGAAAACCCTGTAAACTCTAAACCCTGAACACCAACTCTGCAGAAGCAATGAGGCTTAGGGGCAATGGAAATTGGGACGGTTCTGGCATAACGATTGCCGAAACTTGGTCTCTGACTTCTTGGCTCGATCAAGTCGCCCCACCCAAGCTGCCACAAATATACCGTATAACAAAGACCCAGACCCAGAACCTTAACCCCAAACCCTACACCCCAAACCCCTAACCGCCAAACCCCAGACCCCAAACCCCGAACCCCAAACCCCAACCCCCAAAACTGAAGTGCGCGGTCCGAACGGCCCATCTCCATCATGCTCTGCCGCTTCTCCACCCGCTGCTGGCGCTTCGACTCCTTCGTCGCCTCGGAGGCCTGGTGCAGGGTTCAGGGTTTAGGGTTTGGGGTTTAGGGTTTAGGGTTCAGGGTTTAGGGTTTGGGGTTCAGGGTTTAAGGTTGAGGGCTATTTGGAGGTTCATAGGTAGGGGTTATGAGTACGTAGGGTTGCTATACTTAGAAACTGGCTATGGCCTTATTTAGGGCACTTGTAACCCTACGTCTAACGACCCATGCACCTTCAAGTATGTCAGGTGTAAGATTTACGGAAGGTTTCGAACCTCCCTTCTTCTAGTCTTTGCTGAAGAACACCCCCCCCCCCCCCAAAAAAAAAAAAAAACAACAACAGATAATGTATAATAAAAAGGGGCAGCGAGTTTTTCCTAATCCCTATATTATCCTAGAATCTGTTTTAATGCGTGTGTGTGTGTGTGTGTGTGTGTGTGTGTGTGTGTGTGTGTGTGTGTGTGTGTGATGTGTGTGTTGGGGGGGGGGGGGGGTTCTTGAACAAGTAGTAGTCTTGTAGGGGTTGGCAGCGGGTAGTGAGGTGAGTTTATGGTGGTTTTTTGTGTTTCAGGCAGGGTTCGGCGAAAGGTCGAGGAACTTGTAAGTTATGGGCTTGGGGTTTCTGGGAGCTTTACAACTTTGCAGGGATGTCTAAGAGAGTACGTAGTTTTTGTTGACGCATGTAGATGCATTTGAATCCGTTGACTCCGTGAGTCTGTAAAGCCGCTGACGCCATGAGACCATTGATGACGTGAGTTCCGGTGGCGCCGTTGACGCCGTTGACGCCGTTGACGCCGCGAATCGGCAAAGCCGCAGACGTCGTTGACGCCATGGATTCCAGTGACACCGTTGACGCCGTTGAAGGTCTTGAAGCCGCTGACGCCGTTGACGACGCTGACACGGTTCGCGTCTTCGCGTCGTCTTCGCGCGGAACTTCACGTCTTCACGACTCGCAGGAAGTCACGTCTCCGAGTCTTCGCGTCATCGCCCCAAGTTTAAAAACTCGCAGCACCTGTACGGACGCCAATGAAACAGCACCGCCTGACCCTAACCCGCCCCTTCCGAATGTGCAAAAGGCCCAGTTGCCTACGGCCGCCTACTAGATCAGGGCTTAGGGTATTGGAGTTTGTTAAAGGCGCCCAACGCTCAAAAAAAGGGGTGCCGGAAACAATTGCAACCCTCTTTAGAGCTACCCATATACAGCCCTGCGAATCATACCTTCTAAACATCAAGCCGCTCAAGCGGCGGGCTTCTCGGCGTGCGTGAGAAAGGTACGACTACCCTCGTATCACTCCGGCCGATACTCTTATCAAAGGAACCCCTTTCAAGGGTACCCCTGTATCATGACACCCCCACATCTTCCAAACACCTACTCTTAGACGAAGACCGAATGCGCCTTGATCTCCTCCTTTTTAGAGGCCATGAGCTCTTCGTAGGTCTTTAGCTCCTTGGCCATTTCGTCCTGGCAGGATTTCGGTGAGTTTTCAGGCTTTTTCGTAGTTGTTGGTCCCGTGGTCGTTCATGACATCTTGAACACGAGCTGCCACTCTACTTAACTCCTGTTCGGAAGCAGAATAACCCACAAGGTTAGAGGCTAAAGAGTCTCATACCCCCTGAATCTGTGGTGCTTTCCCCAAAATACTGATCACTAAGCCTCTCTCACGACAAGGAAGCCCTCAACCCTGAACCCTAACCTGTAACCCCATGTTAGAACTTCAAACCTAAACCCAGAACCCAACCCTGAACCCTGAACCCTGAGCCTCTGAGCCCTCAACCGTCAAGCCTAAGCTAAGCTGCGAAGTTCCCCCCCGAAACCCTAGCCTGCACCCGAAACCCTAAACCCGAAACCCTAAACCCCAAACCCCAAACCCCAAACCCCAAACCCCAAAGCCCGGCTTCCGGAAACCCGGTCCTGCAAGGCCTTGAGGTCAACCTTGAAGTCGTCCTCCATGGCCTCCATCATGCCTCTCCGCGCCGTGGCGCAAGGGGGCTCTAGGGGTTGTGTCGAATGTAGGGGGCTTTAGTAAAAATTAGAATAGGGCTTTGGGGGGGCTGATTATGGCATAAGTATGCAGAAATTCAGGGCTTGGTTGTGTCTAGGACGCCTGTGCTCGACTTCTGGCATCTTCCTCAGGTTAAGGACTCTTCTGCCCGCCCCACCTCATGTGGGCGAGAGGACCACTTTTTTTGCGACGGGCAGAGTTTTTGGACACGTTGGACAAAACCCTAAGCCCTAAGCCCCAAACCCTAAAGCCTAAACCCTAAACCCTAAACCCTAAACCCAAGGAGCTGAGCTCCTTGCCCTGACCCTTGGGGCCAATGAAACAACTCCTTCCCGCTGCAACGGTCTGTTGCTCTGAACAGCGTCCGGCTCTCTTGTACGAGCTCTCCATCTTTGACTCCGGGTCGAATATGGTTAGGGTTCAGGGTTCAGGGTTCTAGTATGTTCTAGTTAGGGTTTGGGGGGTGGGGCTCAACCCAACATGCTCATTATAGCATACTTAGGGTTTAGGGTCTGGGTGTACCTAACACAGGCGGAGGCTCAACCTTAAGCCCCAAAACCCTAAACCCAGAAAACCGCTCAGCCCCAAACCCGAATCGTCTCTGTTCAGCTCCCTTGAGGCAGACTGGGGGGGGGGGGGGGTTCGTACCCTACATTACTAAACCCAAGCCCTGAACTCCAATGGATCCACAGGGCCCTGAAAGGCCTGGCTACACCCCAAACCCGAAGCCCTAAACCTCAAAGCCTCAACACCTAGACCCAAGAGCAACCCAGGAAGTTAAAGGGGCTTTACAAGGGAACCAAAACCCTAGAAAACCCTAGAAAAAATGGGGAATAAGGGCCTACTCTGGGTCCCTGAACCCTAAACCCTAAACCCTAAACCCTAACCCTAAACCCAAAAAGGCGGGAGTCCTAGAATCCCTCAACCCCAGCACCCTTTGCCGCCTGCCAGCTCGCCGCCGATAGGCGTCTGCATCAAGCTCAGGCCTCTGCGACCCTTAAAACCCAATAGGGTTTAGGGTTTAGGGTTTAGGGTTTAGGGTTTAGGGTTTAGGGTTTAGGGTTTAGGGTTTAGGGTTTAGGGTTTCGGGTTTCGGGTTTCGGGTTTCGGGTTTAGGGTTTCCCCTTGCAAAACAATAACACCACTGAAAAAAACCCTTGAAACCCCTTTGAAACAACCCCGAGAACCCCTTAAAGAAACACCCTGTAACACCCCGTAAACTAAACCCCTTACCAAGCCCTGTAGAACTCCTCAAAACCCCTGAGCAGCCCCAGAAGGCCTCGAGAGCGCCCCCCCACCGAACCGTCAAAACCCCAAAGCCCTAAGCCCAAACGACTTTAGAGCTTTCGGGCCTATCAGGGTTTTAGATGGTTTTAGGCACGCATTTTTTAAGGCATTGGGTTATTGTTTTCGAGCTTTAGGGTTTTGGGTTTAGGAGTTTAGGGCTTAGGGCTTATTCGGGTTTAGGGTTTAGGGTTTAAGAGGTTAGGTTCAGGGCTTGGTGGAGCCGTGGACTCGAACCCCACAGTCATCGACAGGCCTTTCACGAAGCCGGAGGGATCCTTGAAGAAGGCCTGGCCGGGTTCAGGGTTCAGGGTTTGGGGTTTAAGGTTTAGGGTTTAGGGTTTAGGGGTACGAGCATGACAAACCCCAAGCCCCAAACCCTAAACACACACGGAGAGAGGGAAGTCAGCCAGAGATTGTTGTACAATGGTACACGGTTGCTGGATCTCATCCGGGAAGTGCTGAAACTCATCCAGGAAGCGCTGAAACTTCAGATCATCGAGTGACCAAAAGGAAACAACAGCGTTAAGGGTGTTTTTGGGACGGTCACAAGCAGGTACACCTCGAGACGTCTCTCAAGGCTTCCCCTTCAGTTGCACAGCTTCGTTGGACCATCCAAGCCCCTTAGCTTAGAATCAGGGTTCACACACACACACCCCTCCTGCGAGGGGAAACACAATGCATGCCAAGGCCAAATAAGATATGTTGCCCGCACACCCTCCGAAGAGGGAAAGCCCTGGTCTTGTACCTTTGTCACCGGTGAGTCCTCCGCCATAGGCCCGTCACCGCCATAGGCCCTCCTCCTCCAGCACCGACCTTAGAAATCCTTAGTGTCGTCGTCATCATCCTCCAGCTGCCATGAAAGGCCCAGGAGCGTCCGGGAGATCCCAGCTGCCACCGCCTTGACCCAAGGCACCTCCCATCATCGTCGTCGTCGTGGAGGACCCCCAGCTGCCACGAAGGGCCCAGGAGCATCCCAGGAGGCCCCCGCGACCCAGAGCACCTCTACTTTTAAAGAAAAAGAACGGTCTATTTGCAACTGAGGGGCAACCACCGGAAATACGACTCGGGTCGAGACCCACGAATAGAGAGTTAAACCACCTCGTCTATGTCTCACGACTGGGCTTACGACGCCCTTCAACAATTTCCGGCTCCGCCCTTATTGGCGACTTTGAGCTTCAGCCGGCGTGGCTTGTACCTCGAGAGAGAGAGAGAGAGAGAGAGAGAGAGAGAGAGAGAGAGAGAGAGAGAGAATCCGCTCATAGCACTGGGTGCCTACCAAGGCTCATCTGGCACTGAAGCCTCTCTGTTTACTTGGGTGATCCCCATCCAGGAATCAGGCAATGCCCAAACGGGTGAATTGCCCCTGGGCGACGAAGCCCACACACGGAGAGAGGGAAGTCAGCCAGAGATTGTTGTACAATGGTACACGGTTGCTGGATCTCATCCGAGAAGTGCTGAAACTCATCCAGGAAGTGCTGAAGCTTCAGATCATCGAGTGACCAAAAGGAAACAACAGCGTTAAGGGTTTTTTTGTGACGGTCACAAGCAGGTACACCTCGAGACGTCTCTCAAGGCTTCCCCTTCAGTTGCACAGCTTCGTTGGACCAGGTTTGCAACTGAAGGCCTGGCCCCCCTGCGGGAAAAAAATTCGACTCATGCACAAGCTCTCAGCTCCAAGCCCCTTAGCTTAGAATCAGGGTTCACACACACACAACAAAAAAAAAACAAAATCAACCCCAAACATCACACTTACACCCTAAACCCCTTGCTCCAGGCCCCAAACCGAAGCCCTCAAAACCCCAAGCATAAGCCCGAAAGCCTAAACCCCCTAGCCCCTCAAACCCCTAAGACCCTAGACCCTACGTTCTCCGACCTCGAGCCGCTCGTGGTCGCGGACGGAGAGCGTGTTGTCCAAGCGCTCTGCGCGCCTGAAAGGAGGTGGAACTTCCAGGCTGGCTGCTGTTTAGGGTTTCTTTTAGTATAAGCGGAACCGAACCAACAAACAGGGTAGTGAAGGGTACTACTGGGCTACCACGATATAGGGTTTAGGGCTGTGTGGAGTTGGGACGTGAGGTTCTGGTGCTTAGGGTTTAGGATTCAGGGTTTGGGGCTTTCAGGGGTAACTTCGCCAGACTTCATGGTTCTTGACCGAGGGCTTAGGGCTGGTAGACCTTAGTCCTAGGCTCCATTCCCCCTCAGACTAGCAGCTCCTTGCTAGGGATTATAGCAAAGGGGTACTACAATCCCTGTTAAGGAGCTGTTAGCATAAGAGGAAAATCCCCAACCCTAAACCCTGTAACTCCTGGCACAACGGCACCGGAACGCTGCCTATTGAAGGCAAAAGTCTGGACAGCGGACGATGTCTGTGCTTCGAAGGGCCCCCATAAGCCTCCTCAGCCCCTCTCTAAACTTCAACCTTTGGGGCCGTTCAAACGCGAAAAAAGCTTCAACGCCCTAAAAACAGGTGAAGAGCCAGAACCTTAAAGAGCCTGAAGCCCAAATAAGCACCCTTAAGCACCCTAGCCCTAAACCCTAGCCCTAAACCCTAAACCCCGAACGTCCCCAGCACCCTCACTAGCATCCCCAAACACCCACTGAATCTCTTCAAAAAGGACTCGCAAGATCAGGGACGGACCCTAAACCCCAAACTCAAACCCAAACCCCAAACGACCCTAAAACCCAAGCTCTAAACCCTAAACCCCAAGCCCCAAACCCTAAACCCCAACACCTGAGAACCTTTGCCTGCTCACAGCATCCTGAAGCCGAGCGCTCATTTCCTCCAGGCCGCAAAAGCTGAGACAACACGGTTTTTTGTGTTTTTGTTGTGCGGGGGCGCGGGGGGGAGGGGGGGAGACGCTCTTCTGGTTTTAATGGGCTTGGGGTGTTTGGAGTTTAGGGTTTAGGCTAGGATTTGGGGCTTTACGCTGCTTTTGGGGGGTCTAGGATGTAGGGCATTTGGGGCCCGAAATGAAAACCCTCAGCTCCACAACCCTGCGCCCGGGTTAAGCCATGCCATGTTCCCTTGTACTGCTTCTGGGCGCCACCTGAGGCCCCGGTGAGATTTCGGGGGGATCCTTGAGTCCTTCAGATTTCGGCAAAGGCCCCAAAACCAGAAAACCTTCAAGACCCAAGCCCGGGCCCCAAGCCCCAAACCCTCTGAACGCTAGAGGGGGCTTAGAAAAGGGGGCCTGAACAATGCGAATAGGGTTTTGGCGGTAATTTTATGGCATAATTTATAAAGGGACCACAAGGGAATATTGTTCGTAGTCATTCCGACCAAAATTACCAAACGGAGTCCTTCAGGCGCCCCTCCGGCAGCTGCATCAGCGCCGGCTCGCCGCCGCTGATGGCGGTGGAGGCCGCCTGGACGGCCTCCCAAGGTTTCAGGATTTAAGGGCTTCCAAGTATGGGCCCTTAAGTAGGGTTTAGGGTTTAGGGTTTAGGGTTTAGGGTTTAGGGTTTAGGGTTTAGGGTTTAGGGTTTAGGGTTTAGGGTTTAGGGTTTAGGGTTTAGGGTTTAGGGTTTAGGGTTTAGGGTTTAGGGTTCAGGTTTTGGGGTTTAGGTTTTGGGGTTCCGGGCTGTGAGGGCCTTAGGGATTTGTGGGGGGGAAAAAAGGGCTTTGGGGTCTAGGGCTTTTCTTGTAAGGGGTTCAGGGGGGCAAAGCTAAGTTCTACAAGTTCTTAAAGGGTTTACGGTTAGGGTTTAGGGTGTAGGGTGGTGGTTTATAGGGGTTTTCGAGTGCCTCGAGGCCTAAGCCCTAAAACCTTAAACCCCGGACTCCTGGGCCCTCAAGCCTCAGAGCCCGGACTCTCCCCCGAACCCTTTAAACCCTGAACCCTGAACCCTAAACCCTAAACCCTGAACCCTAAACCCTAAACCCTGAACCTTGCACTCCAAACCCCTAGACACCCCCCCCAAGGAGGAAAACCGCAGCCTCGATGTCCTTGTAGAGGGACTTCTCATTGTCATTGAAGGTCTCGACCTTCAAACTTCAACTTTGAGGGACTTTTGGTGTCATGTTTTTTATTTTGGGAGGGGAGGGGTTGTTGGGTTTTCCGGGCTTCTTCGGGTCTTGGGGGGCAGGCTGCATTTATTGGGGCCCCTTTTGAAGGCCGTTTCTGCAAAGAGAGAGGGAAAAGGAGAGAGAGAGAGAGAGAGAGAGAGAGACAGACTCTATGCACGAACTCTCCCCCCTATAAGGCTTACACCATGAGACCCACTTTGGCCTTGTTTCCGTGGAGGACGCGGGCGGAGTCCAGCGCGGCAGTGGCCTCCTGCACCTGCACGGCCAAAATCTGATGAAAGTGCCTGCTTGGTAGGGTTTGGGATTTAAATTTAGGTGTAGGGTTTATAAGGCATAGGGTTCCGTTACGTACCTCACTTTTAAAGCTTAGGACGTTCTCCTTTAGTATCAAGCTTGACTCGGGAAGATCTTGGCGGTGCATCTATCCGCATGAGGACTTCATAAGGAAATTGTTGCTGCAAGCAGGGAACAATTTCGCTGATGCTTGCAAGTACGGCCATGACAGATTCTCCTCCTCCCATATGATGAGGATGGTGAGGTTTATGCTGTCATAGACTGTGTGTTTCTATTTTCGGTTGGCTTGGCGACTGGGGTCTACAGGTTGGGGGTGTCAGGCCGCCCGCCTCCTTACCCAGGACCGTCATCTCAGCTGCCAGGCTCCTTAAGCTGCATGCATGGTCGTTGCCAAGTCAAGCCCCATGGTCAGAGGTTAAGGGAGCCCCAGGCCGGCTCCGCATTTGCAGAGTTGGGGCCAAGCCCTGACAGACCCTGAACGCTGATTGAAAAGAGGGTGGGCCCGGGTGGGCAGATTGTGGTTCTTATAGGTTTTAGGGTTTGGGACTTAGGTCTGCGCGTATAAACCCCAAAGGCCAGAATCCGAACCTCTCTCACAGCGGCACATACCTTCAGCTGAGGAACTGGCCCGAAACAACTCCCTACCAAGCCGCCAAATTAGCGACAGTACAAGTCTTCTAGGGGTTTAGGGTTTAGGGTTTAGGGTTTAGGGTTTAGGGTGAGTCCTGAATCCGAAGGAGACTGAGGCCGAGCGGCTCAGACGAGGCGTTGGCCTCAGCCGCGAGGCTTGTGAGCTCCTGGATGCGGGCCTGCGCTGTGGGGTTTAGGGTTTAGGGTTTAAGGGTTAAGGGTTTAGGGTTTAGGGTTTAGGGTTTAAGGTTTAGGGTTTAGGGTTTAGGGTTTACGGCCATGGGTTTTCGGGTTTGGGCTTTTGGGGTTTAAAGGGTTTTTAGGGCTCTGGGTGTGGCATGAATTGGGGTTTGGGATGGTTTAGCTTAGGGGTTGTGAGGGTGTAGGGTTTGGGGTTGAAGGTTCAGGGTTGCTGCATCTTTGTGGTCTAGAGTCTAGGGGCGGCTAGGAGCTAGAGCTTCTTCCAATTTAGGATTTCGGTTTCATCAGTTCTGTGGTTTGGGAGTTTTCGGGGTTACGGATGTTTTGGGTGTCGGGTTTTTGGGTTTGCTTCGGGGTTCATTACTTTAGGGTTTCAGGTTTAGAGAAGATTGGGGTTTCTAGGGTTTTGGACTCGGATCTGGGCGTTCAGGGTTACGGGTCTACTTGGAGAAACAAGGGTACTTCTAACCCCAGTTTGGACGGTACTTACAACTGGAACTATAGGGTTCTTGTAGACAGTTATACTTTGGGATATAAGTACCCCCTAAACCCTAAACCCTAAACCCTTAACCCTAAACCCTAAACACCCATGAACCTCCAAGTAGGGCTCAGGAATTAAGAGATAGGTACAGAGGGCTTGCCGCCTGGCCGTCAGAGACCTCCACGGTCTTCACGTCGTTGTTCTCCTTGTAATCCCGTCAAAGGGAGTCTAAGCGGGGCTGGGGACTTCTCATGGAAGTCCCCCTAAACCCTAAACCCTAAACCCTAAACCCTAAACCCTAAACCCTAAACCCTAAACCCTAAACCCTAAACCCTGTCCTTGCACCAGCTGCGCAGCTCGGCGTACATGTCCTCATCGGCCTTCTGCTCCTTCTCCAGGGTCGTCTGCATCTCCTGCACCGCAGGTTCTCGAACCCTAAACCCTAAACCCTAAACCCTTTTTTTGGGGTTCAACCTGAACCTGAAACCCTTAAAGCCCTACGTAGTATGGACCTTTCGTTTCTATTTGGTGACCCCTTTTGGCTTCCTATTTGCGCAGGTACGCTTTGCAAAAGCGAGATACCGGGCTTTGGGGCTTCTGGGTTTACGATCTATAAGGTTTAGGCCTACTTTGGGGTTTACCTGAGGGCACGGCTTTGCGAGTCGCGGGGATGTGCTTGCGGCTTCTTTGGGCTATGGTACCCCTAAGCCCGAAACCATAGAATCCTCTAGGCTCCTGCATTCATGGGGGTTTACGAAAATAAGACCCCCCCCCAATTTTGACCCCCAAATAGTAGGATTCCCGTATAATAAAGGACCCCAATAAGGTGACCGTTTTTGATTTCAAATAGTAGGATTCCCTAATAATAAGGGACCCCCACAATAAGGTGACCGTCTAGATGTCCTTCAGCAGATCGACGACTTGGCTGACAGGCTCGGCTGCCTGGCTCCTGGCGACAAGCCCCCACAAAACCCCGAAATCAAGCTCCAAGCCCTAAACCCCAAACCCTAGAGGTTTAGGTTTAGGGTTTAGGGTTTAGGGTTTGGGGTTTGGGGTTTGGGGTTTGGGGTTTGGGGTTTAGGGTTTAGGGTTTAGGGTTTAGGGTTTAGGGTTTAGTAGACCCCTGGACCCCCTATAGACCCGAAACCCTAAACCCTACACCCCAAACCCCAGGTCCCAAGCCCTGAAGCCCGCAGGCCAGCTTGGGACGCCAGAGTCAAAACGGACACAAGGCCCCGAACTCCCATTCAGACTCGTGGGTTTAGGGTTTAAGGGTTTGAGGGCTTAGGGTTTGGGGTGTGGGGTTTCAAGGGCTGAGGGGTTTGGTGTTGAGAGCTTCGGCTACAGGAGCAGGATGTGGGCAACTGGTCTGAGGCTCCCCAAGCGTAGCCCTAGACCCCTAAACGCCAAACCGCACAACCTCTTGTCATGGGCAGCCGAAATGCAGCTCTGATGCAAAACAACAGCACCTTTCATCGCCACGTTACTGCATTTTGTAACTACCATCATCATCAGGATGAACCAGCTGTTCATTTGTACTTCGGTACATGCACAAGTGCAACCCGAAACCCTAAGCCTACAAAAAGGAACTTGCATGTGCCAGCCACCCGAATGGCGGTTCATGGCTTATCGTGCTTGAGCCGAGGACCAGGCTTCAGAGCCTTCCCTCGGTTTGAGGGTTTTGAGTTTCGGGTTTCGGGTTTAGGCTTTATGGTTTGAAAGCGCTTGCCAGCCTCGCCAATGCCAGGGGGACGGCTGCCAGGGCAGCCAGCATGGCGCGCACCTCTGACAAGTCAGGGTCCATGCGAGTCTGCCTTTGTTGTTGAAACGTAGTCACTCATGTTATTGTTATTGCTATTCTGAATATGATAAGACCAGACGATTTGTATTTACGATAGTGCTTCAAATAATCATTATGATTCTTGTTCATTATCATGCATTGAGCGGTGTCAATTTTTCATTCTTGCTACTCAATCCCACTCGAAGAAAGAACCATGAACCCCGAAACAGCCCTGAAGCCTGAGACCGGTGCTGTTGAATCATCGAAGGAGATGAGAGCCCTAAGCCCTAAGCCCGAGAACCATAAAGCCAATAAGGAAGCCCGGAAACTCTCAAACTCATGTCCTGAACGCTCTGACTGACGAGGTCCCAAAGTAACCAATCCCTAAACCCTAAGCCCTTCTTTGGCTCATGGGCTGCTCAAAGAAGGGGTCAGTGGTTGCAAACCCCTCCCCCACCTCCAGACAAATTCTGTGCTTGAAATCAGGGGGGGAAGAGGGGGGGGGTAAACAAACATACCTCAACAAACAGAGTAGGGGCACGCCGGGGTCCTAGGACGCTTTAGAAGCCCACGGGTTTAGGGGTTGTCGGGTTTAGGGTTTAGGGTTTGGGGTTTGGGGTTTGGGGTTTGGGGTTTAGGGTTTAGGGTTTAGGGTTTCAGGTTCAGGACACCTTTTAACCAAAAACCAGAGGGCACAAGGGGGGCTCTGGGACTCTGGGAGCGCGCGCCGGCATTCTCTTCAATGGGACGGAGTCCGAGGGAGAGGCAAGTGACCGCTGCTCCCTCGCTGGCTTGAGCCGAGTCGAGGCCGGGTGTTTCTAGTTGGGGTTTAGGGTTTAGGGTTTAGGTTTCGGGTTTCGGGTTTAGGGTTGAGGGTTGAGGGTTGAGGGTTAAGGGTTGAGGGTCCTGGAACAATCGCCCGGAGCCTTCAGCCTGGCGAATACAGCTTCACAGCTCGCCACCTTCAGTGCATCCCACTCTTTGGTCCAAGACGGGTCGTCAGGGAGTGGATCACATCCACAGACGCGCAGTGCTTCTTGTGAGCAGCTTCTATGAATCTAGTCATGGGTCCTGTACATTCAAATCATATCAGAGCTGCAAGCGCGCCCACCTTGCTTCGGTGAGCAGGTCCCGTGCGAAGCGGAGAAATCGGCATCGTGGTTGTCTTTTACTTCTGATTCTGCCTTCCTCGTACATCCGAACATCCTCAGGCACCGTGGCTTGCCAAAGACCAATCGAACAAATCGTGGTCCGATGCACGGGATCTGTGCCACTTTCGCGGGTCCCATCAGTGAAATAGCTAAGAGTAGTGGGCAGTAGAGAAGAACCACCACTGCGTAATACCGGATGCCCGAAGCAAAGCCCAAAGTATGAACAGGCCAAAGCACCAACCACAACGATTGAACTCTGGCAGCGAAGGCTTTCTTGTCACATGGCAACACAAGGAACAGCGCTATAAATACTAGAGCCTCCAATGCCGATAAACTGACCAAGAGCCATTGGAACCATGATCCTTGCAGTGGACCAAAAATCCGGTGTCCATATTCCACCAGGACCAATGGAGCAAAACCAGAAAATGCAATGAAGGTGGCAGAAAGAACCGCCCGGCTCCAGTGGGAAGCATCTGTTAAAGTCCCGGTCCTTGCGATTGTAGCTCGCAGCTCGGGGGTTGAAATGTTCATTTTCATCAGAACTTCCACAGCCGTTTCAACGTCTGCCCTTGGGCTGTTGAATTGCCAGAATCTGATACAATCTATCTTGCCAAGTCACTACTCGCTAAAATTCAACAACGAAGTTGTTCAAGTCTGAGAAACGAGCGCACAATATCACACACACAGAAACATGTTGCCGAGCTGACTGTTCTGCCCAAGTGTCTCGTGGCCACTTCTGCGCAGCTGCTCCAGGATTCTGAGTCCGTCAGCTTCATCTGAACACGTGGCATCTGCCAAGTGCCCTGTGAAGCCTTTGCGAAGATTTCGTGCAGCCTCGTCTGCTGACACCGAATTCAGTCGGTCGACTTCCATCGCGACTGTGCCAACGAGCCCCAAGGATATGTACTGCACAGCGTTGAGCCAGTTGTGCTCGTACAAAGCCCGACCAAGAACAATAGCGAAAGCATAGCTCAGGTTGGCAGTGACTGAGACGCCCAGCACGGCAACACTTTGAAGGAACGCCTTGTATCCACCACAACGAGTGAAGGAGAGAAGAAACAGGATCATGAAAGGGATAACTAGGACAATCGCTGGTGCGTAAAGCATCGTCGCATACCTCAAGGGCGTCAGCAAGCCAGCAGACAAAGCCACCTGGTTGAGGTTTATGATGCGGTACATGTAAGCCCACGCATTCAGCTCCTTGGCCACGCTTGGGAAACTGCGAGAAAAGCAAACAAAGCAATCCAAAACTGTTTCAACACCAAAATCCGCAATGGCAAAGAAATAGTACTTGGTTGAGAAAACCAAAAGATTAACATGCACAACCCCTTGTCAAAACTAACGATAAACAGTATCTCATCATCAATCAAGCTTCACGCCCTGTTGCCAGAGTGATGGGCTTGTTCCAAGAATATGCCAGAAAGGCCTCATACACACACCAAAGCCTGGCATAGATGCTGCCCGTGCGATTTGGTACTGCCAAAACATGCCATGAAGAGTCTAGGGCCTTTGCAAACGGTGACTCCTCTGGTGTTGCAATCAAATCCCCAATATCCAAATTCTGTGGGTTGGATAAGAAGCACACGTACGCGGCTGTCGCTCTGCGTGGCCAGCTCTGTACCACCTTGTCAACGAACTCGAAAACGCCTTCGGCCCATGCGTGAGTAATAAAAAGGTCACATTGCAGGCCTTCTGGATTTTTCATCAGAGCCCAACTGACATTCCCCGCTGCGGCTGTGACTGGTTTGATGTACTGGTCATTCACGGTGTACATGGAAGGGCCGATGGCATGGTCTTGGGGGTCGAACGCATCTCTCCTCGCTGCGCAGTCAAAGCATGGTGCTAATTCTGCCAAAAAACCGACAAGCAAAGTCTGACAAGTTTGCACTACCGTGATTCCTCAAAGAAAATGTGTTGACAAACAACTTGACCAAGTCTCTCAGTAGGTCTGATGCGCCCATCCATCACAGCTTGCCCAACTAGCCGCTTGAATTGCTTGAGATCCTCGAGGCTGACGCACCAACGCTCCATCGGAACCTCTCTATGCAACGTCGCACCATCACGCACAACTGGCGCGGTCTCAACTTCAGAATCCCCGCTCATGATCCTCTGAGCTTGTGGATGCTTAAAGTGAATCACCAAAGTCGTTAGCAAAATGCACATCAGAGACACCGAAAGAAAGACCTGCGCAAAAGTCCCAATCGGTTCTCGCAGTGGGCCACACTCACTGATTCCACGTCCTGGACAGCATCCAAATCGTACTCCTTGCTCCGTCACACCATCGACTTGCGGCCAAAAGCCCTCTGCGCATACACAGTCCTCGAACTGGCTGGTCTCGCACAAAGGCTCTGCGTCTTTGCACAAGTCTCGCCGAAACCCTTCGCACCTGACACCATGAGCTGGCACAAGGAAGAAGTGCAACAGGGCCAACTTCATGGAGCACACCATGTATCATCGACACGCGTGGCCCAGCGGCTGAGCGCTGGTTCTTTGGGCCACTTGGCGGGTTTCGCAACATTGAAAACGCAAGCTGTTCACTTCACTAGGCGCGAACAGATATAAAGAGTAGTGAAACCTTGATTTCTGCAGGGCTTCTGGATGTAGCGCCGCATAAATCTAGGCTTTTTTGCCGTCTCAAGGTGTGTTCGGGGGCCTTGTACAGCCTCGAGTGTGCGGCGACAAGTGACGTGCCGTGTCTGATCCAAGAAACCTGATTCTTGATACAATTTAGGGTTTGCGTTTGCTTGGACTGCAGCAAGCAAAAATCGTAAAATTACTTTCAAGCACCCCGAAGCCAGCCCAACAGGAGGCCTTTGGGCATAGAATCGGGGGCCCGGCTTGGGTTTGCATGCGGGGCTTAGATACAGGGCCTCCCTTCTTCGTCGGGCGACGGCCCTGAACCTTGCACCCTAAACCCTAAACCCTGCCCTACACCGTGAACCCCGCCTTTCTCTGCTCGAAAAAAGAGGCAAATTCACAGGTCCTTGTTTTCGCAAGGGGTGCAGGTGCTTGCAAAGACCTCCTAAACGCCCTCAATGACCGAGGTTTAACCCCACAGCGCAAACGTCCATTAGACCGGAATGCTTTGCAAGCACAGAGTCCCAACCTGGGCATGAGAGATGCTTTGCATCCACATGCTACAGGCCATGGGAGGTCCTGCCACTGGCTGAGTGAGATACGAACTCATTCTTGCAGCCCACAAGTTGGCTCACCCTATCCTAAACCCTGAAAGTATTGCAGCACCAGACGGTGAGTCGTAGCCCTTTCCCGGGCTAAGCAGAATGCAGCGCAGACAAACACACCCACTAAAACACCCACAGCCCCAATAACACACCCTGAGCCACCAAAACCACCAAACCCAAGAAAAGAACGCAACCTGATGGTTTAGGGGGATAAGGTTTCGAAACCATAAGGTTTCTGAATATTGGAACCCGACACCCCTTCCAAAGACAAACCTTGAAGCCCTACCATAAACCCTGTTACGCTATAATTGGGTGATAAGTACAGTTATGATTGAGTTCATAAGTACCATGAACCTCCAAGTAGGGGTTCCAGGGTCGCCCTCCGGCTGCAAGCTGCCACTTCTGTCCATGTCAGCGTGCAAGAACAAACTGAGTGAGCAAGCCACCGGCACATCTGGAGTAAGGTCGGGAAGGTTGCCTGAAGATATGCTTTGCGCCTTTGCGCGTGGGACGCGCAAAACTCTTGGAGAGATACAGCGTGCAGCTTGCTCCCTCTGGAAGCGAAAGTTAGCCCGCACCCAAGAATCCTGAATTTGATGTGCGTCTCTTGTCAACCAGGCTCCCACAGTCTAGCCACCAATGAATGGGCTGTTGCAGCTGGCGCCACTGCAATGAGCAAATGCGCGGACTGCCCTTGCTGCGCGGACGCTGGCTCGAAACGTGGGGTCTGACCCCAGCTCGCGAAGCCTGAGCAGACTATAATACACATACATACACACATACATACATACATACATACATACATACATACATACATACATACATACATACATACATACATACATACATACATACATACACACATACATACATACATACATACATACATACACACATACATACATACATACATACATACATACATACATACATACATACATACATACATACATACATACACACACACACATACACACATACACACACATACGCGCACACACACACACATGCGTGTAAGTATGTATATAAATATATGTATATGTATGTATGTACTTATAATTATATATATATATATATATATATATATATATATGTACATACACATGTAAACCTTTACAATGTGTAGATATATGTATTTATTCATATATTCATCGGGATGATTAGGGCAAGTAGGGTAAATAGGATGATTATAGGTGTAGGGTGATGGCTTTAGGGTCCAAGAGTCCATTCTAGAGTTCGGAGATTCGGGATGAGGGCCCTCAGACTTAGGATGAGTTGGTGCTTCGAGACTTTGGGGGCGACAGGGCTTGTGGGTCCTAAGGCTTTAAGGGGTTTAGAAGGCCGACTGTAGGGCCTAGAAGGTTTTGGGGTTTATCGGATACGAGCTAGGATACGGGGTATAGGGCTTCTAGGTGTTGGTCGAGGATGGGACCCTAACAGTTAGCCCCAACCCTACGCCTTAAACCCCAAAGCCGCAACTGCCAGGCTTCCACTGATCGCGCCTCTGGAGTCGGGCCTCGAAGCCAGTTGCGTGGTGCCCGCGAACCTTCAAAGTTATGGCTTTCGAGGGCGACGGGGAGGGTTGTGGGTTGGAAAAGATGCCGCCCTAATCAACACGAATCCGAGGCGCGTCGTACGAGGTGGGATGGGCATGCTGTTTCCTTGCTCGTGGCAACTTTGGAAAAGAGCTTCCATAGGATTGAAAGACAGCCTGAAAGCTGCGAGGCAAGTCAGGGGTTAATGTTCCCTCTGAGGCCAGCTCATAACATTATGGTCCTTCTTGGGAAGTACCCGTAGAGCCTTCAGTAGGTACTAGGTCAAGAACTACGTCGTACGGAACGAGAGAGCCCGCGGGACCATATGGACCCGCCAGCGGGGTTTGTTCTAAAGATGGAGTTCTCTCTTTCGACTTAGAATAGCGTCATAAGAGGGGGCACAAAGAGGGAGTCGAGAACCGGTCGTTCGGGGAGTGGGGATCAAGAGCCCACAAGACCGAATTGCCTGATTCGCCGAGAAGCCCAACTGTAGGCACCAAACCATCAGACATCTAAAACTGAGCGAAAGTCTGGACCCCGAAAGAGCAGCCCCCTCTCCCCCTCAAACCCACAACCCTGCTCCCTACACCCTAGACCCCTGACGCCGTGACCGCAAGGGCGGGGCGCCTCGTGCACAAGCCGGTGCGCATGGGGAACCTGAAGTCCAGGATTTAGGGATTAGGGCTCAGGGGGTTCGAGGCTTGGGGGGGTCTAGGCCTAGGGCTTTTGGAGGGTTTAAGGGCTTTTTAGGTCTTCCGCTTGTAGGCGTGAGGGGCTTTGGAGTTTTTGGGGTTTGGGGTTTTGGGGCTTGGGGTCTTTGGGCCGTCAGGCTATAAGGCTTTAGGGTTTAAGGGCTTTGGGCTCAAAGGGTTTTAGGGTTTTGGAATTTAAGGTGGAGTTTGGGGTTCAGGGGCTTTGGGCCTAGCCAACTCTTAACAACCTAGAACCTTAAACCCCGCCCCAAACTTTAGGTTTTAAAACCCAAGCCCTGCAAAACCTAAGCCCCAAACCCTCTACACCCTAAAGCCTAAACCTATTCTAGACCCGAAACTTTAGAGTTAACCCTAAAACCCTCTACAAACCCTCTACAAACCCTCTACACACCCCAAAAGCCGCAAGCCCTGAACCCCCAAGCGCCCCAAAAAACTCGCGGGCTCCCGACCAGGGGGCGAAAAGGCCCTGCCGGAGCCTGCGATTGTACTGTAGTTGTCAAGGCGAAATATAGGGGGTCGGAAAAATAACCAATAGTAGTCCCTTATGGTCTCTTTGCAAAACCCCCAAAACCCTATTCTAATAACTCAGGCCCCTATGTTATAGGGCCCAGAGTTCAGGGCTCGAGGTGTGAAGAGGGCTTAAAGCTTAGGGGTTAAGGCTTCGTTTTTCGCACGAAAAGTCGCTTTCACTGGCAGGCACGGCTTTTTCGGCTCCTCCAAACATCGACTGTCGTGTTTTGTGGCAAGCTACTGGGGACTTGTGATTCAGGTCGGGGGGCTAAGGGGTCTAGCGCACAGCTAAGGGTCAAGGGTTAAGCGTGAGGGCTTAGGGTTGTTTTATATTGGTTTGGGAGTCTTGAAGGCCTTGGCATGTATTTCCTGGCTTCCAAGGACCGATGGTTCAAGAAAAATCGAGGCTTGAAAGGCTCTCCTAGGTAAGAAAGGTAGGCTTCCCACTTTGGAGTTTGTTTAGTATCCTTAGCGCCTCGGCATTCATGCTCAGGCGTTGATTATGTTAGTCGTTGGGGGAAGGCGGACAATGACGCAGTGTCGTCCAGCCTTCCTCTTCTTCGCACCTTAAGTTTAGACGACATGACCCTTAACTGAAAAACTGTAAGGAGCTGTAGTCCTGCGCCTGCATAACGCCTCTGGCCTCTGAGGCCTGTGAAGGATATGAACCCCATAAGCCCTATCAGGGTTCATTTGGGGCAGGCAGAGTGCTCCGCGAACAACCCCCCCCTCAGCGCTTGGACTTCGTGATCGAAAGGACGTTGTCGGGCCCTGAATGCTCTATTCAACTTACAGGGCGTTTTTAATGCGGCTTATAATCGGGCTTCTTTCAGGGCCCCAACTACCCAATCATAAGTTACTTGTCTCTAGGATTCGGATAGCTTGTATCATTCAAGCCCCTCAAAACATTGCGCGCCTCGGCCTGGAGGAGCTGCAGGAACTCCTCCTCGTCACCCGCCTGATCGTTTCTGGAATGGTGTGCACACTTGCTGGGGGTGAGTTCTGTGCTTGCACAACACATTGCGCAATTTAACATGTAAGATATATATATATATATATATATAATGTAAACCAATGCATAAAATATCAAGCGACACTATACTGTATACACTAGAACTCCAAAGCCTATTTCGGGAGCGTGCGTTGCTTAAAGCATATTCCGGGAATGGGCTTTTCCAACTCACGATGCCAGTTTTTCAGGAGTCCAACAAAGCAAACATTCGCCCTCAGGCAAAGGGTGGCACGCGCCGCCCCCCACCCATTCCCACTTTGTTGCGGAACGTTTACCCTTCAACAAAAAACACCTTGTTACGGAGCGTTTCCCCTCCAAAACAACAAGCGCCACTTCGTTACGGAGCATTTCCCCTTCAACAAAAAAGAACGCCACTTTGTTACGGAGCGTTGTCCCTTCAAAAAAAAAGCACCACTTTGTCACGGAGCGTTTCCTCTTCAAAAAAAGCTCCAGTTTGTTACGGAGCGTTTCTCCGTCAACAAAAAACGAAAAAAAC